AGCGAGCGCGTGCGCGCACGCGCACACACACACACACACACACACACACACACTCACACAGAGTCCCACCAATCCACCATCAGAACTCAGACTTGCAGAGATGAAAGGACAGACGGGAGGCATCCTTATCTACAGAGGCTATGACGCAAGTAAAGTCTTTTGAGGTACTCCAAGAGAATTCTGGGGTAGCAAGATCTCTACTCTTCCAAGTAGTGGCTCTGTCCCCAGGATGGAGCGTACAGAAGAGAGGGGTCAGAACAAAGACCCTCTGCTCTTCCAGAAGCAAAGCCCTAAAGTAATGCTTTTCAGGGAATGACCCACAAACGCCATCACCAGTTCATCACAACATAAACAAAGGAACCAAGAGGAAGCCTTTAGAAACTAGCACAGTGAGGTGAACTTCCTGCTCCATCCGAGTGCACTTGCCAGACCACCTCGTTCAGTGGCTCACAGATGGGTCTGGATGGTGCCGAACCCCTGAAGGGAGCTACGGACGGCGAGAGCTGCCAACTCTACAAACAGCAGGAGCTGTTTTGGTCTGCGATGTTTTGGAAATGACCCTCAAACCCATTAGTTTGAGAACAACCCCTTCATTTTACAGAGAAGACTGAAGTCCGGGGACTGCCAAATGGCTAATGACAGAACCCAAGAACAGGAGAGGTGGGATTAGACAGGAAAAGTAACTGGAGACTGCCCTTCTCACCCTCCTCTTCCAGGTCAGCAATCTCATGGGACCTCCTAAAGCAGTAAGGGCTGCTTACTGCTTCAAACGAGTAGAAGACAATTTTGGGTTCAAGGTAAATGGCCCCAGCACAGTACTTCCTTCCAGCTTTTCTTGAATCTCAAACCCAACGCAGCTAAAGCCAACATCTTCCTTTCAGAATTAAGCTATCGTCCCAGCTGGTCCATTTCTTGACCACCACCCCAATCTGTAATCACCAGATCCCAGAAACGCCAACTTATTGAAAACACAGTTGGTATGTTGATTGTTCCTTCAAAGTCCCCTGAGGTCCACTGAGTCTGTGATAAAAGTAGATGTAAAGAACTAGGGCTGGTGGGGGGCGAGAGGCTTCCTCTGTCATGTGCAAGTTCACAACCCCAAACACAAAGATCAAAAGCGTTCACTGTACTAGGGAAAAAAAAAAAAAACACTGCCAGAGCTGGTTTTCCCATTCAGTGTTACAGTTTTAGGCAATTTAGTCAACGTATCCTGCTTCCAGTGATATTGTGAATATCGCATCATAATGATTTCTCTTATTTTTCAGGACCTAACGCTATCCATAGAACATGATAAACAGTAAATGCAAAAAGAGGAAGGGAGAAAGAAACAGAGGTAAGGTGAATGGGGACAGGGTCACAGCCCTGGATAGCAGGATAATCTATAGATTTTAATTGTCTCAGCCACCCCTATCCCTATTTGCCCAAAGGCTTCCTCAACTAATCTGTAAGGAAGCTGTCTCCTCCTTAGAAGCTACAGACAGCCCTGTAACAAGGGGAGTCCTCAGCTGACTGCCAGATGCCCAAGGATGAGAGAAAATGAGGCCAAAAACCCAGGAGGTCAGGGTGGGAAAGACAAGAGGCCCCAAAACTAAGCCAAAACAAGGCCCCTCCCTATACTGCCTGCCCCCACCCCCAGCCAGCCAAACCATTTGCTGCAGCCTCAGGGGCATGGGAGGGGCTTGGCAACACCACAATAACCACTTCTAGCAGAAATGTCCGTCTGCAGCTGAAGGGAGCCCAGCACCTAGGCCCCTCCTCAGCCAGCCCAGCCAGGGGGCTGAGGAGCCGTGACAGGGGCCTTACAGGCAGCTCCGGGGGCAGGAAGGCTCTCCTTTGGACTCACTCACCCAATCTGTGCTGCAAAGTTTCCCCCCTCTTCCACAACATTCAAAAATGGCTGGGGTCACCAAGGAGGTGGAGCCGAGCTCTGGGACTCTAATACTGTACTTCTTATGCACGGGGAAGCCCTCTCTTTCCATCCTCAGACTCAACTCTGAAATCCCCTCGGTTGGTTCCTTTCCTAGCCTAGCTTGAAATGCCCACCTGCTTCCACATCTGCCCAACTTCACTACCGCTTGGGATAAAAGGGTTCCCGCTGAACTCTCACAAAGGGCTGGGGAATGGGAAGAGCAGGCAAGAAAGAACTAGGAGGAGTTCCCCACGGTGTGTGGAAAGTTGAGGATCACAGATCCTTGACAAAAGGAGCAGTGGTCCAAAGGAGAGACAGAAGGCAGAGATCCTGGGCACAGTCCCAAAATAGTTTCCACACATCCTCAGCCAATCGAGGGCTCCCATGGGGCAGAGCGTGGGAGCAGCGTGGGAAGCCCAAGCGCCTGGTGCTCTCGGCTCTGGGCACTCACTCTTGTCCAGGCTGCCAAGAGGCAAGAGGTGACAACAGCGTGTGCTACGGCATGTTCCTTGGGATATCACAGGTAGACATGTCATACGCCAGACAGTAAACAGACCAGCTGCATTCATCAGGCTCAACTTTATGCCTGTGCTGGGCATGACACACACCCTGTATCATGGATATCCTTGAAACCCTGAAAGGACTCAGCACCTGCTAGATGGGCACATTCCCACCGGCTGTTGGATATTCTTCACCCAGGGAGCTTACCCGTCCTGGGCCCCTCCCATGGGAACCCCCAAACTGGGAGACCCCCTTTGTCCGTGTCCCAGAGTCTCTGACTGCTCTGAATGAGCCCACACACCACACACATCTTCCTAAGTCACCACCTTCTGACAGAAGAGGGCCTCACAAAACCGCTCTCCGAGGGTATGTGGAACACCACACTAAACTACGTGAGAGAACTACGTGGGGTGGGGGCAGGCGGCACCAGGAACAGAGGGCGCAGATCCGAGGGCTTGCTGGCACTGCCCAAGCTGGGCCAAGAGGAAGCTAGGACTTTCCGACAGACAGCTCAACAATAAAAACAAGTACAGACACCTCAAGGCTTTAAAAACACCACCAGTTCAGGCCCCACGCCGAGAGGGGGGAAGGAGGAAGACCCGGGTGAAGGGCATTCTCTACTCTCCCAGGCAGCCCTGCTCCATGCCCACAACACTAAGGACGGAGATGTTAGGCGGGGAGATCCCAGCAGGATGGCAGGGCCGGCACGATGCAGGCAGAGAGGAATGGAGAACACACTTGGAAAAAGCTGGAGAAGCCACCGCTAGGCAGGAGGGGGTGCTTTCCGGAGTAAACAGACCTGCTGCCGGCAGTCCCTCCTCTCAGCAGAAAGGGAAGCTCTGGCGGAGGAGGCCAAAGACACAGAGCAGGGAGGGAGCTGCACGCTCCTCGGGCCCATCTGTCCTCGCCCCCTTGTCCTGCTTTCCCTAGAGTGGGGGGCACAGCAGGTGCACCATCCCTGTGCCCACAGCCCTCAATAGCACACAGGGGGCAGCTAGGGGCATAAGTGGGGTGGGACCTGGGGGTTCTGCTCTGGAGAAAGGGCATGGAGTGAGCTCACAGCTCTCTCCTCCCCACCCACAACAAAGCCAGTGTCAGCCACGTCTGCTGGCCTCAGGGACCTGCCACAGTCTAGTCCCAGGCAGTCACCCACTACCTGCAGCCTCACCAAGGCTTGCCCAACCTTCCAGGGAGCCAATGCCACCTGGCTCTTCTCCTTCCCCCAGAAGGAAATTTCTTGCCCTCCCTCAGGCACCTCCTTGCTGTAAGTTCCTCTGGCAGGAGGCCAGGGAACCACCCTGGCTCCCGATCCACCCCACAGCCTCACCCAGGAGCCCCCAATCCCGCTGGGAAAGCAGAGCACCGCCCCCCCCTGCCAGCGTCCCGCCCAGGTAATGAGGGTGGCACTTTCAGCACCTCCAGGGAGCTTCCCACAGTTTTCCCAGGAAGTCAGAGGAGGATTTCCCAGGAGGAAAATCTAAGAGCATCTGGGGACATGAGCAGCATGCCCACCTGCTACCCAAGCAACCAGATTCCCCCAGCTCCTCACAGGCTCCAGGGGCTGAAGGGGAAGACAGAGCTGAGGCAGGGGCAGGAAAGGGTTCGCTCTCCTAGAAGTCCCATCCAGTCCTGCCTCCCACCTGTCCCTACACTCTTTCCCCAGCCTCTCTCTGCTCTTGACTTGAGAGGCAGCCACCCTGAGCTGCCTCTTGCTCTGTTTTCTTCACTCTGGGCCAGCGGAAGATACTGCTGAGTAATCCCAAACTCACAGCAGATCCCCAGCCCTGAAAACAGGGCAAAGCCCAAGGAAACCTACTGATCCTGGCCTGTGCCAACCGGGGAAGAACATCTGTGTTTCTTCATAATGGCTTATATTCCACAGACTCTGCCCTGCCCCAAATACCCCAGCCCTGGCCTGGAGAACAACCACATGGAGAAGCTCAGTGTCCCCTTCTCCACTTCCCACGCACCTGGTAACATTCCCTTCCGAGTCCCCCAGACACCCATCTGCACAGAGTAACAGCAGCCCACCGCCTGCAGGATTCCCAGTCATGATGTTGCATCAGCCCCCACCCTACCCAAAATATCCTCACCCCCACCACCTCCTCTCCTCTCCAGCCATCTCCATGGTGACAGCAGCATGACTAATGACACCCTATCAGCTTCAGACTCAGGAGCGCAACTCCCCCCCCCCTCCGCAGCGCACCCCCCCCCCGGGGGGGGGGCGATTTCTGCAGATTGGATGCAAACCAAACAGTGCCAGGGACATTCTCGAGAGATTTCCAGAGGCAAGGGTGGGGAGTGGGTTGTGTGTCTTAAAAAAAAAAAAAACAGTTCAACCAACCCAATCCCAACTGCACCCAAACCATCCAGCTGAGAAAGCAAAAAGAATCCAAACAAAACCCACACAGGCCTGAGAATTCATTGGCCGCCTACACCCCCGCCGCCCCTCCCCCTCAGCTGCTGCTACACACACTGTGGGAGATTAAGGGATCACCAGAGGAGACCCTTTATTTTTATCCAATTCAGTCAAACACTTCACCTCTACCACACACACACACACACACACACACACACACACACAAGGTACCTTGACAGCAGCCCCCTGTCCCCACGGCCCGGCTCCTTCACCAGCCTTTATTTCCACCTGCAAAAGAAGACGGAGAGACTGATAAGCCAGGCCACCACCAGGAAAGCAGCAAAGTCCTTCTGCAGCACTCCCAGCACGCTGCAGGGGAAGGGGGAGAAGGGAAGGCAGGGGGGCCTCGGAAAGAAAGGATAGCAGGGACCATCTTCCTGCCTCCAGCTGCCACCCAGACGCGCGGTGGATGGACTCATTCGCCTTCAAGAGTGTTTTTGTTTTCATTTCCCCCCTATCCACCCTCCCAAGATTCAGGAGGGCTCGGCCCCTCCTCCTGCGTCCGGCCTGGCCTCGTCCCTCCCCGCCCTGCCCGCTCAACCTCGGCCGGCCTCCTCTGGTGCATCGGCCGGCGGGCCTCCCATTATCCCCGCCGGAGCGCACGGAGGGAGGCACTGCAGAGGCGGCGGCGGCCAGCTGCCGGCTTGGCTCCCCTCCCCGCCGCCGGCGAGGCTGGTGTGGAGGGGGCGGCGCGCTCGCCAGCCAATCCCCGCGGCTGACCGGGCGGGGGCAGGGCCGCCGGGGGCTGGACCTGCCCGGCTGGGAGGCGGGGGCACCGCCAAGGGTGCCGCGGAGCCGGGCTGGCTGTGGCCCAGGCCCGCCGCCGCTCCCCGGCAGGCTGGGGATCCCGGGGCACCCCCGCCTCCTTCCGACTCGGGGGCCCGAAGGTAATACCCAGAGGCATCCTTTGCATCTCCAGGGTCAAAGACTGACTGCTCTAGGGGTCGAGCAGACGCTGCCGGGATTCCCCTTCAGGCTGCTCTCTGGCCCTAGGACACCAGCAAACTGCCTCATCCTAGCAGCAGCTAGGACAGTGCCAGGCACCATGATAAAAGCAATAGCCCCTGCAATCCTCCAAGGAAAAGAAAAGCCTTGGAGTATGAACCTTTTATCCCGTTTTGCACATGAGGAAATGAGGCCAGATAAGTGAAGTAACTTACCCAAGGTGACACAGCTAGAAAACAACAGCTCTGGGACTCCAAGCCAGGTCGTCCGGCACTGAAGACCAGACTCTTAACCATTATGCAGTCGTCTCCTCCCCACCTCCCATCAACAGACTTCCTTTGAAGCCAACACTGCCTCTGGCTCAAAGCCTCACCAAGCCAGACTTGCCCTCCTTTGCTCACAGACACCCACACCTCACCCTACCATGGCTCATCCCTGCGGCTTGAACGCAGGCCACCCCCTCCAGACAGCACTGTCTCCACCACCAGCGGCAATGTTCCCTCCTCCGTTCAGGAAGGCCACGGGGGGTGGCACACCCAGACTTCAGGGGATGCTGCCCATCCCCTGCAAAGGTGGAGGACAGGAGGCAGCCCAGACTCTGAGCCTCTGAAGGCTGCAACACCCAGGAGACTGAAGGAGAACAGAATGGGGAGAGGAAAGCCCTGCAGTTCCTAGGCAACCCAAGAGACATCCTGCTTCACCCCAAGCCCTCCCTGTAGCCAACACCCCAGAGTTTCCGCCTTCTAGGAGGGGACCCGTCATATGGACTCTGGTACTCACGCATCTGGGTCAGTTCCTGGCTCCGCTATCCAGCGGCAGGAGCTTGGTGGTGGTACCTTATCTCTCTTAGCCTATTTGTAGTTCTATTTTATAGATTAGTATTGCTCATAAGCAATAGCAGCTACCTCATACACAGTTATGAGGAGTCTGAAAAAATGCCCCACAGTGCCTGCCACGCTGAAGGTGCTCCTAACTGCCATGCTTCGTTTCTGAGAGAGCGCGTGGTGTGCTGCTTCTGTCTCACCGGTGTGGCTTGCAGGACTAGTTAGGATGTATGAGAGCGACCGATGGTGTGCTCTGCTACCAACTCCACCACATCGGCCCAATCATGCCCATCCCTGAAGCTCCAAGGGGGCACTCAGAATGTCTTAGGAGAGACAGCAAAGCTGGCCTCTGGTGAGGAGACTCCAGGAAGCACCAGGGACCACACCTGCCTCACCTCAGGACAAAGGGCAGCCCTACTGGGCTCCTCCCTAGAGCAGGGAAGAAGGCAGGTGACGAAGCAGGCCACAGGGCACTGTCCTGCGCCGTGTGCTCCGGCACCCCTTAGCTCTGACCCTGGCCCGGCCAAGCCGGTCCCCCTCCTTTACGCGGGTCCCCAAATCCCCTGCCCCACCCACCCACCGCAAACACAGTCTGCTGCTGGCTAAGAGCAACTAACACTGCTTGGATGGTAACGATCAATACTGTCGCTGCTACGGCTGCCACAGTTTATCAAGCCCCTGCTACGTTCCAGGCCCTGTGCCAGCACGCTGTGGGAGCATCTCGTTTGACTTACTCCACACACCACCTTATGGGGAAATGGGCTTAGAGATGTTAAGTTACTTGCCCGTCAACACACAGCTGGTGAGTGGTTAGCTAGAATTCCAAGTCAGGCATTTCTCATTCCAGATCTTTAAGCCCTCTCTCCCAGCCTACCTCAGAGAAATGCAAAGACGGATGGGGTCACTTGAACCACACTACTTCCTTTAAGCTATGGGTCTGAGAATAGTAATATTTTCACGCCTCAGAGACTTGGCAATGCTGCTTTTTGCCTAGGTTCCCCTGCCTCTCCCCCACCTGGCAAGCTAACACGGTACAAGGCTTAATCCAAACGTCACCTCCCACTGCTGCCTTCCCAGCTCATCTAGCCCCCATGAGCTTCACCCCACTCCTCCCGGGGCCTCTTCTAGAGCAGTCACACCAAGTACAGTTATTTATTTACACGGCCGTCTCTCCCACGTGGGCAGGGGCCCTATCTTCCCCACTCATGAGGCTCTGCGCAGAGCTGGAATGTGCTGAGCTGAGTTTCTACACAAGGAGGGTGGACGGGCAGGGGGCTGGGCACTGAGGTGCAGAAGCCACTCTCCGGGTCGGTCTGCTCTCTGAGGTCCCCAGAGGTCAGAGGAACACTTGCTCTCCTGGGAGGAGAGGACCTGCCACCTGAACTATAGCTGAGACCCAGCCTTGTTCAGCCAGCACGCGTTTTCCTCACAAGGCTTCAAGAGCCACCCTGACTCTGCTTGAACCACCCCCGCCCCGCAGTGCTAACTGAGTCCCACTCCAACTGCAGGTCCCAGCCCACCCGCTGGCCGCCTGCAGACAAACTAGCAGAGCCCATGGTCCCCGAGGCAGTGCACCGGCAACCACCTCCATCCCACGCTGGCCTCTGCCCTGTTCTGAAGCAGCTGGAATGCAGGGCTCCAAGGGGTCAGAGAGGCGCATACCGGGACCACCTGCCTCCACACTTCACACCTGACACCTTCACACCCCTCTCCTATCAGCCCCTCTTTCTGTATTTGGGGCTTCACAGTGACCAACCCAAAGGTAACTGGGACCCCTCTCAAAGGGGCTGAAGGTCTCGCCCCACTTTCCATCATGACCCCTAGACTCTACTACACTCCCAGCAGGAGAAATGGAGTCACAGCCCTCCACTAGGGAAGAGGTGAATGGATTAACTCATTCTCAGAACCCACTAAATACCTCAACACAGAGAACCTCAGAAACACAGATCCTCACAGGCCAGAACCCACACAGATATATAAAGACTGGGAAATGGGGATGCATCCAGACACACATTTGGGGGGCTTTACAGGAGGATCAACCAAGCAGCCACCCCATGCCAAGCCCCATAACTGAAGCATGATGTACCGTATCTTATTTACCCCTCAAAACAAACCAATGACATAGGAATTATTAATGCCCATTTTACAGATGGAGAAATCGGGAGACTGAGTTGTGCTCTCATCACTCCCTCACTTGCAGCAATATAGGTGGTGCTGCTCTGTGTAGCTCTAGGATTTTGTCAACCTACCTCTTCTAGAGTTGGCAGGGGGTAGACGGACGACTTCTCTTCCCTTGCCATGGCTGTGTCCTGAACAAGGTCACTCCCCACAGGGCTTTACTTCAAAGCTCAGTTCAAGCCCCACTTCCTCCAGGAAGCCTTCTCAGGTTACCCGAGTCCTCTGCCAGTTGACAACACTTCCAATGTTTCTCATTTGACACTTGGTACTGCTATTTGTCTGTGACTCCTGCCTCTCCAACCAGAATGGCTAGAGTCGTGCCTCTTCAAAGCCCCGGGTTTTTTTTTTTTTTTCTTTTGCCCAGCATTCCACACACTGAAGACACTTGGAATCCAACGTGGGGGAAGTCTGTGACCTTCCCTTCCCTCTCCACCGCACAAAGGATCCTGCCAAAGAAACCCAACACCCCCTCCACCTTCAGAGCCTATGTTTGAAGTCGCTGGTGTCCACGCATCAATTTCCACCCAAGTAATTGCAGCCCATCACACACATCATCCCCTATATTTGAAACTCTTTGCGGTTGTCATGGGAACTGCCTTTGCCTTCATTCACTGATCAGGCCTCACAATTAGCTTTGGCAGCGGAAGTCTGTGTCAACGGCAATCGCGGGGAGGAGAAAGCCGAGGAGGTGGAAGAACAGCAGCAGAGGAAGGAAAGGTGCTCCTCCTCAGAGATGCAGGAGAACCAGACTGAACTCAGGCACCCGGTGATGTCAGAGGGAAAACACAGCCAGCCAGCAACTCTACCTGCACACTTCCATGCCAACAAACAGAACGCACCCAGACCCCCCAGGCTGAGAGGCAGCATTGTGGCTCTGCCCACAACCCCTTCCCCCCACCATGCTGTGCTAAATGCTTATAAGAAGATCTTATATTCTGTGAACTTCGTCAGGGTCTCTCCACTCCATATGCAACAGTTCTAGACCATCAAATGTCCCAGGATCCAAGCAAATAATTGGAATAACAGAAACTTAATTGGTTACTGAGAAGGTGAGACAGGAATACTGAGTGGTTTAGAAACCTGGGGACAGCCCCAGGGGAAGCCTTCTAAGAGTAATTAACACAAAGCCTCTTACCTTCCACCTTGAAGATCCATGAACACCCTCAGCTGGTGCCCTGTGCTCTGTCTATGTCCTTTCACACCCCTGCCACCAGTCTCAAGCATCTGAGTAGCATCTCTGCACAGCTCAGCTTCAGGGGAGATGCCTCCCTCCTCCTGGAA